GAAGCTTAGCTATTAAGAATTAAAGAACTCAGTCATTTCCTGGAAACACATGAAGTATTTCTAGATCTCTGCAACTATGGCCAGCTCTTTAATCAGGGAATGCAGCAAATGGGAAGCTGCCAGGGTCACGGGAAGAAGAGAACTGCTGGCCTCAGGAACCCTAGTACCAGCAGGAGGAATACGTCTGGTCAAAGTGCTGCTTGCATTCCTCTGTGGTTTCAGAGACCATGAGACGTGAAGAAAATTTCTCTGACGGGAAGCGGCCTATTGAAAAAAGCTCAAAGTCCTGGCTTGCCAGCAACAGTGAGACAGACAGTTTGCAGCTTGAGCTGTGAAGCTGAGGAAAACAGCTCCCCCACCCAGGCGCTCTGGAATTACTAGATGCCTCCATGCCACTCTGACACAACACTTGGCTCTGCTGGGTCCTTGCTCAGGCTCATTTTGCCCACCTCAAAATTATCCAATACCTCTCTTGTTGGCAGATGGGAGGCAGGTCTGGCAGCAGTTTCTCTTCAGCACACATTCAGTATCCTTCTGGCAAGGGTGCCAGGCCATTGGCCATCTGGTTCCAACCAGCGGACTTTAAGGAATATTAAGGAATGGAATATTAAGGACAGGAATATTAAGTTATGAAAGTACTGTTTCCTCCCAGTTCCGTCACACAAGTATGTCTCTCCCCTTGGTTGCTTGAGTAGTCCCACATACAGAAGAGTCACTGATGGCAACACCCGCAAAGAAGCTAACAATCCTGGTGGAACGTGAATTTGCTATCTTGAGCTAAAGTTCAATTTTATTAAGGTGACACATTAGCAGAGGTTCAACGAGTGAGCAGTTACTACACAGGGTGCAGACACGAACTGAGTCTAGTTTAGTGTTTCTACCTGACACATCATTTTGTAATGATAAACAACCAGTTCAATAGCTTTGTCCACATTGCCCTCTCAGAACTGCCATTCTGGGGTTCAAGCAAGACCAGCGCAGGAAAAGCTACAGGACAGGACAAACAGGAGCCCTGCTTCAGGACAAGCCGAGGAACAAAGCAGAGTAACGAGGCAACAGTACTTTGCCAGGGGCATGCTGGAGCACTGTACACAGCCCATTGAGGCACCACATGAAGCACCGTGCAGCCTAGTAGCTCAGGGTGAGAAACGGTAAGTCCCGGGTCAGTGGCACAGCACAAAACAAGGCTGACAAAGCCAGGCTACTTGGAAGAGAGGGAGAGACAGAACCACAACCGCACACGAGGGCAGGTAGGCAGCAGCAAGGAGTCTCTGCCCCAGAGGTGGGGCAAAAAACAGATCCCAGCAAGACGCTAGACAGCTACCAGGTGCGCTATGGAAGCGATGTGGATCCACCTCCTAAGCACAGTTGCTCTCCCTCGTTGACCTCCTCTCCTATGAGGTCAGTGCCACTATCCTCATTCCCTTCGGTATCCCTGAAGGGACTGCTCCTCTTCCACATGACAACCCCAATCCAGGATGCAGCCCAGCTCCACTGAGAAGGGCAAGGGCATTCTCTAGCTCTCAATATGCCAAGTAGTGTTTTTGGACCTTAGCTTAGCCCAGCATTGCTCCAGATCCTCAGAAGATGCATGCTGTGTGCTATCTGGACAAAATCTGCATACCAGGCTGCATTATATCGTCTGTGATGGACGAAGCCATTTCCCTCCAGCGTTCAAGAAGTTTTAGTACCTCCACCTAGGACTGAAGGAGACAGCACATCCTATACAACATCGTTTGCTTCCACTGGATCCAGCTCTGCTGAGCCCTTGGGGCGAATCCAACTATTTAGGGTCAAACTTGCATAGGTGAGGCTCCCTCCAGCAGGTCTCCCAGCAAAGAGCCTGAGGTGAGGAAAGTTCAGACCCAAGACTTAGCAAAGAGGCACACAGAGGCTAGTCGGAGGCTCGAGAAACCAGCTGAACACACATAACATGTAACATGTTATGTGTAACATGTAACAGTCCCCACATGTAACAGTCCCCAGCTCGCCCAGGAGTAAGGCAGGCTTCAGAAGTACAAATCCTAGGTCAATGTGGACAGTAGATAACCAGTCCTACACAAGATCTGTCCCCACCCCAGAAATATGCTTAACTACTATGATTCAGTCATAGGGTTTTACGTCATTTGGCCTGCAAAGGTATGATCTAGCCCCAGAGCTGGGTGTACCACGGCACCTGAGCCCGGCCTAGGGCTCTATGCCCCAGGAGATCTGTCAGCTGACAGTGGCTACATGAGCCACAAGGGTGGAGAGAAATAAAACAAAAAGCCCAGCCATGCCACCAAACACTCTGAGATTGGAGCTGTATCAACAAAAAAGGCCCTATTGTCCGCATAAGTCACAGACGCCTCTTTATTCTCCTGCGCAGTCCACCAGGCACGAGCTGCGCGAGACCCGAGCTTCTGTTCCGCTCTTACCTAGAGATCTGTTTTAAAGCAAAAAACACAGAGCACCTTCCCAAGGCACTTTCCGCATGCCAACCGTACTGTCACTAGAGGAGCTCCCCCTGCCCCACGGCAGCCCAAGGACCGTGAACATCCCGAGAGACTTGCCCACGCTGTGAAGGCAGAAGGCCGCTCCTGCACCTGGCGAGGAAGACCAACCTGAGGCGCACGTGCAGGGGAAGAGCCGCACCAGAC